AAAAAGGGCACCAGGAAAGGCGCTTCCATTGCAGTATTTTTTAAAAAGGATATATTTGTTAATGCCACCGCGAGGGTGCAAAAAGAAGCAAAAAAAATTGCTGCCCAAATGAGGCATATATCTCACTTCAATTTCAAGCAACAATAAAAGGCATAGCCCACTATGGGGTAGCGGAACACGTACACGTGCGCATTGCTTATTCGGTATGTACACATTCTGTGAAGTTGTCCCATCCTCAGAACGTTTAGCGCTTGTTTTTGTGTTCAAGTATTTCTCATGTTCTGTTGAAGCTTGAAGCTTTTATCTTTTTGTCTCCCTTCAGCAGTAGCTAAGCAAAGGTGATATTTTTATTTTTTTTATTTTCATTTTATTTTTTATTATTTATTATTTTTACTTTTTACCCAGTACGATTACTGAAAAGATTGGGTGACAAAATTAGGCGCATAGCTTTATAATATATAAATGAAAAATTCTCTTGCAAATACGTTTGTTCTTTTTTTCTGCCCCACGCTTTTATACATCACTCCGTAGTGCCGATTTCTCGTTTGCGTACCCCCCGTTTGATTAAGACACGTGGGGTTGGAAAGCAGATCGCTTAATATAAGCGTACAGAATGAAGACGAAGATAACGCGCGCGCGTATAAGTATCTTCATACGTCTGCTTAAACCATGCCAAGTTCGTTCCTTCTTACGTGACATGAAAATCACGTATTCATGATGTTTGGGGGCCCAGCAGGGCAGGTAAAAAAATAACCCCGGAAGGAAAAATGAAAAAAAAAAAAAAAAAAAACATAAGGAAGGGAACAACAAAGAGCAGCAGAACGATGCCATCTGACAGAGATGGCCTAACACTGCTTTCTCGCACCAGTGGTAAAAAGTACCCGCTGGCTTATATAAATATACAAATGCGCAGACAATGAGAGGGGCATGGTGGCGATACAGAAATATACCACCATCCAATGACATGCTTTAGAACAGTGCGCGATACGACTTCCCCTTTTTTTTTCTTCTCTCTCATTTGCTACCCATCACGCAGGAAGCATATTTCTGTTTGGGCTTTTCTCACCTGCTACGCTTGTTACGCATCGGAGGTAGCTCACAGTGGTTCCCATTTTGTACTTCTTTTATTCTGTAGCGTTTAAGGTGGGTTAGTGGTCGCTAAAAAATGGTTAGCGTGGGTTTGTAACTCTTCGGGGATCCTCAACACTTTAGTAGCAATTTCGTGGCCTGTGGGTATGGGGGCCTGTTCACAATTTTGTCACAGATTAGTCGCCCTAGCGAAGGGGGGTAAGCTTTTACCTGCAAATTCGATTCAGTTAAAAAAAAGAAAAAAAGCGCTTTCCAATTCGTGGACAAAAATCGTCTTCAAAAATGGCAAAAATTTGGTAAAAAAAAAAAAAAATAACGAAAACAAGATTAGCGTTCCTTCCAGTGGGCAACAGGCGTAAGAAGTACCAAGAAAAAA